GGGTCGAGAAGCATTCGGTGAAATGAACGAGAATGGAACATTGTTTGCAGAATTCTGTACATTCAACGATTTGGTGGTTGCAGGCGGTGTGTTCAAGCACAAGGATATCCACAAAGCGAGCAATATGGATTTCACCAGATACCAGGACACACTAAAAATCAGATCGACTTCATCTCAATGTGAAGAAAGTGGAGACGCAGCCTACTCGACACAAGATGAGATCAAGAAGGGGAGCAGATGTAGGTTCACACCACTCACCATTTAGTGCAAAGAACTTACCTTCCAAATCAAGTTGAAAGCGTTCAAGGAAGCTGGTGATAGACCACAGTTCAAGTACAACACTCGGAAACTGAAGGAGGAAACTACAAAGGACATCTTCACGTCAGCCATCAAGACAAAGTGAGAGATATCGAGCAACATCCCTGAAGAACCTGTGTGAATGAGCACTGGAACTCGGTGAAGAAGATGTGGAAAAAAATCTGCATAACCGTATTAGGAAGGAAGAGGAAACAAGACAAGGAATGGATCTCGATGCAGACATGGAAGCTGATAGAGCAGGGAGACGAGGATGGTGAAGCAGGAGATAAACCAGTGCAAGGATGCACAACGAGGAGAGGAACTGAGTACAATGTACAAAACACTACACTGGAGAAAGAAGTGAAGAAGAGTGCACGCAAAGGCAAAAGAAACTTCTACGAAACACTGGCAAATAAAAGCAGAACAGGCTGCAGGTAAGAGAGACCTAACAACATTGTATCAAATAACCAGATTACTATCTGTGATGGGAGAGATCAACACAGATGAAACCAATGAAATGATGAGGGAAATTTAATTACCAAAGAAGAGAAACAGAGGAAACGATGGGCCGCCAACTTCAAAAAGCTCTTGAATCGACCACCACCACCTGCACTTCGTCCAGAAATACCACCTGCAGCCCAGCCACAGAACTACTAGTGAACATAAATCCTCCAACAAAAGTGGAAGTCCTGAGCGTCATAAAGCTACTGGAATGTAGGAAAGCAGCAGGACCGGATGGAATTCCGCCAGAAGCACTGAGAGCAGACGCAGAGACAACAGCAGACATGCTCACACCACACCACTATTGCAGAAGGTCTGGAAGGAAGGAAAGGTACTTATTTGCCGATTGGAAGAAGGGTTACCTTATCAAACTCCCAAAGAAGGGAGACGGAAGTGTTTGCAAGAACTAGCGCGGAATCACTCTCCACTCCTGTCCACCCAATGCAAGCAAAATATTAAGCCGCATCATCTTGGAGAGGCTAAAGGATGCTCTGCATTCAAAATTACGACCGGAACAGGCTGGCTGGCTGGCTGGATTCAGGAAGAACAAATCATGTGCGGATCAAATTGCAACGCGACACTACGTATCATCATAGAACAGAGTATAGAATGGCAGTCAACTCTTCACCTAAACTTCATCGATTTTGGAAAGGCCTTCGGTAGTATCAGTTGAGAAGTGAATTCGCAGCTGCTTCAACACTACGGTTTCAGTGCCACAAAGCTCTGTCAACCTCATTCAACATTTATATGCTATATGATGCTGCATGCCAAGTGATTCACAATGGAAAGCCCAGTGATGCTTTTGAAATGAGACAGGAGTAAAACAAGGCTGTCTACTATTACCGATCATCTTCCTGATTGTGGTCGACTGGATCATCCAGCAAACTGTGAGAAGATGGGCATACGCTGGCTGGACCGAGGCATCGAAAACAGGACTTCAAGTGAATGTAGAGAAGACAAAAGTGATAGAGATACCCTACCAACAACAACAAGCACTAATCATCATTAACAGGAGAAACCTAAAGAAAGTAGTCTCTTTCACCCACTTATGCAGGGCAGCATCGTTTCAACAACAGGTGCACAGAAGAGGACGTCAAAGCTAGGATAGGAAAAGCAAGTCAGGCCTTGATTAACCTGAAACCAGTGTATAGATATACTACACTCAACGCAGCATAAAGAACAAGATCCGGATTTTCAACACTAATTCAGTCAAGTCAGTTCTTCTGTGTGATGGTTGAGTGACTTGTCGCGTCACAAAAGGTATTTCCAAGAAACTGCAGACATACATTAACAGCTACCACCTGCGCTTACTTGATACGGAAGATCAGATGGCCAGAAAGATTAAGCAACAAGAAACTCCGGGAACGAACCAACCAAAAACAAATATGCAGAAGACAGTGTAGATGGATTAGGCATCCACTGAGAAGACCATTTGGGGACATCACGCGCAGACCAGGCCATCAAGTTGAACCTGCATGGGAAACGACGAGTTGGACATACGAGTGTGACATGGAAGAGATCGTGTGAGAAAGAAATGAAAACTTGTAGTCAGTTGTGGCGCCAGGTTGAAAAGAGTGCAGTGGCGACGTGATACTGAAGCCCTATGATCCACTAGGAACTCAAAGGACAAATAATAATGGTAACTAATGCTGTAACAACGTAAAAGATTAGATAGATGCCAACTGTTTCCCCAAAATACAGATACTATTTTCAAAATTCGTGTTAATGCAGGTGTAAAGCAAGGCGCCGAAAAGCTCCGTTTCTTGTTTTCATGGTCATAGCTGGTATAAACACAGTCACATAACGGCGTTTCACGAAAAGAAGCAGCTTGTACTTATTCCCTAGCGTACCTCACTGTTCAAGGTTTCTTCACCACTAGATAACACTATCATAGGATCTGCATTGCCATCATCATCATCATTATCAACATAGGACCAGGCATTACTGCGTAACGGTCCGAGTTGCCACACCTCATATCAGCACATCAAGTAAAAAGGTAGTGAGGTGAAGGATGAAGATAAGTGAATGCAGTCAAAAGAAATATAAAGTACGAGAAGAAAGGAAAGAGGAGTGACAAAATAGTGAGATTCGGTATAGCGTTGTTAAGATGAGGATAATGTGTGTATACATCTGCGCCACTGACTTCGGTTCTGAGCCATATCACCTAGGGTCTCCAACCACTGGTTCCTCTTGTCCCGTGGACCCCAACCACCTAGTCTGCATCGTCCTACATGGCTTAAACCAACAGTCAGAGACTTCATACATTGGTGCCATGTTTTAGTCTGGCCACCTCGGGCCTTTTTCCAGCCTGAACCCACCTCAGCCAACATTGTGTGACGAGGCAATCGGTGACTAGGCATACGTAGTACGTGTCCCAACCATCTCAGTCGATGAAGGTTCACAACCTCGTCGACTGACTTACCTCTTCTCCCTAAAACTCTACACCTAACTTCTGCATTACTCACATGGTGACACCACGGAATACGTCCTATACTACGAAGGCAACGGTGGTCAAATACCTGTAACCTTCTCATGTCTTCCACTTTCAATGGCCATGTTTCACAGCCATACAGTAGAACAGAGCGGACTGCTGTGCAGTACACGCGACCCTTAATAGACAAACGAATATCACGGCGGCGCCATAGGTGGCGCAAATTGGCAAAAGCCAATCGAGCCTTTTGTATCCGTGCAGAAATCTCATCGGCAACTAACCCACCGGGTTGATCCTACTTCCCAGGTAAGTGAAGTGGTCAACACACTCAACCACTTCACTCTCTATTGTTAACCGCGGTACCGCTGAAGACCAGTCCTGGAGCAAAAATTTGCATTTGGGTGGTGAAAATCGCATCCCAAACATTCTCAAATTCCCACTCAAAGTGTTCAGAAGACTCTGCATCTTGTCAGCGTCTTCACCTAACAGGACTATGTCATCTGCATATTCTAGATCTAAGGAAAATTCACCTGTGATCCGGTCAACGTCTTTGTAATTAGGTGACGAGAGGGAAACCTCCATAAGAATATCTATGATAAAATTAAATAAGAATGGGGATAGTGGGCATCCTTGACGGACACCACTTGATGAGTATAGCTCCCTGGACAACTCACCATAGGCTCTAACATGCCCACAAGTGTTCGAGTAGAGAGCTTTCAATAAGGTGATGTACTTACTAGGCACGCCTTTCAGTGACAGACACTGCCATAAGACTTCTCGATCAACGGAGTCAAATGCCGCCTTCAGGTCGAGAAATACAGCTATTGTCGGGCGTCTGTAAGCATGCCTATGTTCCAGGACCTGGCGCAGTGTGAATATTTGGTCGATACATCCACGGCCAGGTCTAAAGCCTGCCTGGTTTTCTCGGGCTTGCTGTTCCCGAGCTCCACTCAGGCGTCGGAGAATTATAGAACTTAGGATCTTAGACACTATGTTTGTCAGGCTGATTCCTCTGTGGTTATCACAAGAGGACTTCTCGCCTTTCTTGAAGACTGGGATGATCAGTGACTTAGACCAGTCGGAGGGGATCGTATTTGATTCCCATATACTGGCTAACACTTCCGTTAGCCTGACTAAGAGAACTCTACCACCATTCTTGTATACCTCAGCAGGTAGTCCGTCTGGTCCTGCTGCCCTTCCCCGTTTCAGGCTACCTACCGCTTTCTCAACTTCTTCTAGTGTTGGGGGACCTGTCTCTATGTCCCATTCAGGGTCCGACTGGATAGCGGGCAGCGCAATGGTGGCTGGAGGCCAGTTAAACTGTTCCTCAAAGTGTTCTGCCCATCGTCCCAGTCGCCTTCCCTGCGAGTGAATCGCCGATCCGTCCTTCTCCGCTATAACCTCACTAACTGTTGTTGACCATTTCCCCCCAGTCTCCTTAATAAGTCTAAATAACTGTCTACTGTTACCGATCGCCGCTGCCTTTTCCATCTCTTTAGCCTTTGCTGCCCACCACTGTTCACGATCGTATCTGCATTGCCACTGGTTAAGATTGCCATCGGTACATAGATTTTTGTCTAGGCTTCGGTTGATCAATTGATTTCGCAATGCCTATACCAAGTGATCCCAACAAATTGCGCCTGCACCATATAAACATCTATTTGTTTGAAGTTTTGCTAAATATCGTGAATGATAAATGGCTTTTTATACCTTACTTTTCAGATGTGTTTAGCGATTGCCAGTGCTCATTATTTTCTGTTGACTGATAACCATGGTAGAGTCTGAAAATTCAACTGACAGAAAATACTACATTGACTTCGTCCCAACAAACTCTGCACAAGCTATCCAGAAAGCAGTTTCGCACCTATATTGTTGTGAAGATATAGTGATTAAGGGGAAGCTGGGGAATGGCTATTTTGCGTCAGTTTTCTTGGTATGTGAACTGGGAATTTTTTAAACAGTATTGCGTTAAGATAAACCATCGTCCAACTAGGAGACTTATGGCTATGAAACTGACCAATGAAGGATCGTTTCATGATCGGGAAATAGAACTTTTGGGTTCTTTAAACCATACCAACGTTTTAAGGTTTGTTATTTTTTGTGTGTTTATTTTTGTTACTATAATCACAAATGCCTATGTCATCATCCGCTCTCTTATTATTGTCATCACCATATAGTGTTTAGTTTTCCTCACGGGATATAATTTTTCAAATATCATATATATACGATTGTACAGCTTGGAAATAAATTCGTTGAAAAGAGTCTCTTCGCTGAATATCTTGTTCTTGGTGTTCATTTTTGTTTACAACTTTACTAGTGTTTTCTGGCGCACTTATTTTAGCCTGTTAGCTGTACGTTCAAAATATATAGCTACTATAGTGAGATTTCACTAACTTTGTATTTGATTTACACTTTTATGCCATGAAAAGTAATTACTTCCCGTGATATCCTTCCTTGTGCTCATTTTAAATGATAATTTAGTACAGTTGAGATGTATGAATAACTTTCGAGAGAAACTCATGAAAATGGTCTGTTTCTTCGCCACCACTGATATATGAATGTACATGCACTGTCGAAGTTGGTAATTCCTGTGGTTTATGATTGAAATTTCAGTTGGAGAGTACATGAGATGAATAAAGTCAAAAGTTTGTTTGTAAAAGTGGTGGTAAAGGAAACCAATTGGGTAACGCGTATTAAAATAAATGTATTTTTACGAAAAGTTATTTTTCCCTTTATTTGCACACACTTCCTTTAATGCGTTATAAGCATGAAAGAAAGTCGTTTTACTGAATCGTGATCTGTTCAGCTTGAGTCGTTTTCTGAGCTGAGGTTTTGGTTGACAAGTGTTTCATTATCATACTAGACATTAGTGCATCAGATCTTCACAAAGAAGTGATTTTACTAACTAATCAGTTTTAGACGTACACCCATCAAAAAGCCATGTATATACTATATATGTGTTCTTTGGAAAAGTACTCACATTTTTGGTCGGGTCAATTACTTGAGATTCTTTGATTTTTAAAATATTGGTCAAGGATTGATGGTTTTTGTTTTGACTACTAAACTACCTCTCAGATGTTTAAGGACTCAATTATCAACCACTAAGTCACAAGTTCACAAATACACCTCTCAATACTTCGATCTAGACAACCAAGTAGAACCAAAATTCCTCGCCAGTACGTGTGTAGGGTCAGTTGCATTCATAATTTGTCACTTTATCGGGAACTTAATAGGTGGCATTACTACCAAACTATTTGCATTGTTAGTCGTTCTACTTATTTGCGTGGTAAACTGACTAGGATACAGTGTTGCAATACAGTTAGGGACGATTTTCAAAAAGAATAAAGTTTTTCAGACTAAAAGAAGGAAATAATAAGTCTTTTTGACATTACGTCATTCGTACTTGAGCTGTAACTAGTCGACAGACCCAACCCAAACCTGTTACCTAGAGGCCTATTGATTTGCATATTTCCAGCGGTGACTATGCGGTCTATGTGACTGGCATTATATAGGAAATGCAATTATTAACCCCCCTTTCTCTCTCTCTCCCTCTCAGTCTCTGTGACTTACTGGCTTAGCCAAGAATATGACAACGACGTTTGCTCAGGCCGAAACTTGGGCGACGATAAATTGAATGATTGATATAGTAACTACGGTCAATGATACAATAGTGAGTGATATTGTGACAGGTAAGTATTTCAATTACTCTAAAGGCCACCCTAGCAACGACTAAAATAGCCAATCAGGCTTTTCTGTTCTGGTTGGAAGGACAGTTTTTCATGAAATAAAGGAGTTCAATTTATTATGCATACATTTGTAATGCATATTTACATACATTAGGCGTAAATATCATATTGTGTCACTGTGATATATCAAGTAGATAATCTAATATGAAATTATACCCTACCACAATCCCGAAGTTTTTTTACTCCTAGGTTATTTCTCTTAATTGACTCTACTAGATCTTTTAGCCTACAAAGTTTTTCGCTGAGCAAGTTTGCGGGTTTAAATGCCAATTAAGAAAAATAGCCTAATCTATCAAATATCATGTAGTGATTGTGAGGTCAGACGATAGGTGCCATTAAGAATAGCAGAGCATAATAATTTAGCGAAACAATAGTAGATGCTATAAAGATAAATAATTTAGAGAAATACTCAGCTATCGCTCTCTATGCACTGACCCATAGTCGCAATATAGGGTGGGATGGAATGATGTTTCTAAACTCCAATATAGCTGGGTGGAGGGAGAGGTGGGTTATATTCTAGTAGAAACAAGGAATAATGCATCTGCATCATTTTTTCCATGTCATTAACCAAATTTTAGTTACACAAACAACACAAAGCAGAAGCACCTCATTTGCTGTATTTCATGTCTTTGTATCTTGAGTCGGCATCCAAATTAACTCTCCCGGTTGTTAACCTGCATTTATTTCCTTTTTGTTCATTGTAAAGCCCGCTCATTTTCCTTGATCCTCTGTCTTAACTGTTGGAAATTGTGGCTAATTGTAGTAAAGCTATTTCCTGTGAAGATTTACGTTGTTATTTATCATTGACAAATAACATCACGCGCTAAGGTGGAAGTAGTTAGTGTCAACCATTATGCAATATAACTCGGTCGTCTTGACTGGCAAAGGTTCACATCTGACTCATCCCATTTTTTCTTAATTATGTACATCCTTTATATTACTTTTTCGACAAACATAATAATAGCTACGTGGGATCTGCCAATCGAAGTACTCTATCTTATCAATCTCTGACAGAGATACTCTGTCTGCACACTTTAAATTGATTGGAGGACCACTGGATAACTCAGTCTCTGAAAATTTGAAGGTAAAATGTTATATCCCGTTTTTACGAAAAGGATTATTCATAGTTAGAGTAGCCATATCAGACAAACGAAACTCCACGCACTCACCTCAGAGAACAGCTCTTTACAGCTATAATTGCGTCAAAAAGAAAGCAACTTAGAACGTTGTCTAGATGTGCATCGACTCAGGTTGCTATACTTCATAGCATAGTAAACTAGGTAAAGGAAAGTAGACGAATATAAAGAGTGAAAAGCAAAAATATGGTCAAAGTTTTTTAGGTAATGCAGAGTAAATAAATTTGTGCTCCTATCGTGAGTTCACGATTGTTTAAGCACAAAACCTTTACCGATGTGGCAGACCTGGTTCTGACAATGAGGTTGTATCATTAGTCTCCACATAACAAGTGTAGTTCATTGCTTTGTCCATGCATCTGCAAATAGTTGTTGAGTTATGTTCCTACCGAAATAGTTTCATGACTGCAGATTTCTTGGAGCATTTGTGTCAGGTATTTTTGGAAATACTTTCTTTTCTACAGTTGCACTTACAATTCAGAAACTTTAACGGATGCCAAGAAAAGATGCCGATGATTGGCTGCATTGCCAGAGACGCTGGTTATTTATGATCGTTTACTCTTGTACAAGAAACAGGTGCTCAAAGCCTTCTATTTTGTAATGATTGTTTAAGTGACATTGACCATTAGAAAAACTGAATTCATTTTAACCGTAAGCTTGAAACATTGAAAGCCTCAGTAAATGGTATTCTCCCATTATTGTGAGATCGCTTATTGAAGGATACGCATGTTTACTTGTTCTTTAAATTTACTGAATGTCAATCTGTTAGTAGCGTTGATGCCACATGGCTGCCTCTCTGATACTACACTAGTCAGTTATTCGAAATGAACCTACGTCTAAGCTGTTGAATAGTGAGGTGTGCCTTACATAATTTGGGAAAAGGTTGTTATGTAAAAAACGTTACTATATTTAAACAGTCAATCATCAATCCATATCAACATTATTATTATTATTATTATTATTATTATTATCATTATTATTATTATTATTAATCCCTTGTGTTCCTAATGGAACATAGGGCTTCAGTAGCACGTCTCCATTCCTCTCCGTTCTCTGAAATCTTTTGAACCTGGCTCCACGACAGCCCACAAGCTCTCATTTCCTCCTTGCACAATCTCCTCCATGTCACCCTTAGACGCCCAACTCGTCGCTTCCCATGGGGATTCCACTCGACGGCCTGGTCTGACGCGTGATGTCCCCAGTCGGCCTTCTCAGTGTATGCCCAATCCATCTCCACTTCCTTCTGCATATTTGTTGAGCGATAGGTTGTTGGCTGGCTCGTCGCCAGAGTGAGTTCCTTGTTGCTTATTCTTATTGTTCTGGCCATCTGATCTTCAGTAACGAGACAGCGTAGGCAGTTGTTGATGAATGTCTGTAGTTTGTTGGAAATCCCTTTCGTAACGCACCAAGTCTCTAAGCTATACAGAAGCACTGACTTGACTGATGTTGGTGTTGAAAACCCGGATCTTGTTCCACATGCTGAGTGCAGAAGATCTCCACACTGGTTTCAGGCTAATGGACGCCTGTCTTGCTTTTCCGATCCTGACTTTGACGTCCTCGTCCGTCCCGCCTGTAGTTGAAACAGTGCTTCCTAGATAATTGAAGGAGGTTACTTCCTTTAAGTTTCTCCCGTTGACGGTGGTTGGAGTTTTTTGTGGTGGTGGTGGTGTTGGTTGGGTATCTTCATCACCTCTGTCTTCTCTATATTCACCTGAAGTCCCGTCTTCGCTGCCTCTTCTATCAACTTGTTAGTTTTTGCCTGCAGATCTTCAAGTTTATGTGACATCAGGCACAAGTCATCGGCGAAATCCAGATCTTCTAGGTTCTTTTCCGCAGTCCAGTGTATTCCCCTCTCCTCGCTGCCCACTGTTTGCTGCATGATCCAGTCGACCACAATCAGGAATATCATGGGGGATAGTAGGCAACCTTGTTTCACTCCTGTCTTCACTTCACTTCAAAAGCATCACTGAACTTCCCATTGTGAATTACTTGTCTGGTATGTGGCGTCTTCATATAGTTGTTGAATGAGGTTGATAAAGGCTTGTGGTATTCCGTAGTATTGAAGCAGTTTTCAAATTACCTCTCGGTCAACTCTGTCGAAGGCCTTCCCAAAGTCGATGAAGTTGAGGTGAAGAGTTGACTGCCATTCTATACTCTGTTCTATGATGATGCGTAGTGTCGCGTTGCAATTTGATCCGCACATGATTTGTTCTTCCTGAATCCAGTCAGCCAGCCAGCCTGTTCCGGTCGTAATTTTGAATGCAGAGCATCCTTTAGCCTCTCCAAGATGACACGGCTTAATATTTTGCTTGCATTGGGTGGACAAGAGTGGAGAGTGATTCCGCGCTAGTTCTTGCAAACACTTTCGTCTCCCTTCTTTGGAAGTTTGATAAGGTAACCCTTCTTCCAATCGGCAAATAAGTACCTTTCCTTCCTTCCAGACCTTCTGCAATAGTGGTGTGGTGTGAGCATGTCTGCTGTTGTCTCTGAGTCTGCTCTCAGTGCTTCTGGCGGAATTCCATCTGGTCCTGCTGCTTTCCTACATTCCAGTAGCTTTATGACGCTCAGGACTTCCACCTTTGTTGGAGGATTCATGTTCACTAGTAGTTCTGTGGCTGGGCTGCAGGTGGTATTTCTGGACGAAGTGCAGGTGGTGGTGGTGGTGGTGGTCGATTCAAGAGCTTTTTGAAGTTGGTGGCCCATCGTTTCCTTTGTTTCTCTTCTTTGGTAATTAAATTTCCTTCATCATCTTTCATTGGTTTCATCTGTGTTGATCTCTCCCATCACAAATAGCAATCTGGTTATTCCATGCAACATGGGACTAGGCATTACTGCCTAACGGTCTGAGTTGCCACAGCTCATAACAGTACACCAAGTAAAAAGGTAGTGAGGTGAAGGATAAAGATAAGAGAATGCAGTCAAAAGAAATATAAAGTACGAGAAGAGAGAAAAGAGGAATGACAAAATGGTGAGATTCGGTATAGCGTTAAGACAAGGATAGTGTGTGTATACATCCGCGCCACTGACATCGGTTCTGAGCCATATCGCCTAGAGTCTCCAGGCACTGGTTCCTCCTGTCCCGCGGACCCCAACCACCTTGTCTGCATCACTCTACATGGCTCAAACCAACAGTCAAAGACTTCATACATTGGTGCCATGTTTTGGTCTGGCCACCTCGGGCCTTTTCCCAACCTGGACCTACTTCAGCCAAGATTGTGTGACGAGGCAATCGGCGACTAGGCATACGCAATACATGTCCCAACCATCTGGGTCGATGAGGTTACACAAGCGTGTCAAGTGACTTACCTCTTCTTCTTAAAACTCTACACCTGACTTCTGCATTACCCACCTGGTGACACCACGGAATACGGCCTATGCCATAAAGGCAACGGTGGTCAGACACCTGAAGCCTTCTCATGTCTTCCACTTTCAATGGCCATGTTTCACAGCCATGCAGTAGAACAGACCGGACTGCTGTGCAGTACACGCGACCCTAAAAAAAAGACAAACGTATGTCACGGCGACGCCATAGGTGGTGTAAGTTGACAAAAGCCAATCGAGCCTTTTGTATCCGTACAGAGATTTCATCGGCAACTAACCCACTAGGGTTGATCCCACTTTCCATATATATGTATATATATATATATATATATATATATATATATATATATATATATATATATATATATATGCAAAGAAAATATAACAGAGGTGGGCATTTAATGTTTCTATGAAAAGTAAAGAACGCTGTTGAATAACCAACAGCTAAGTACCTTAGGAAGTATGGGAGACTAACCAGAGTGTTAGTTACCAATGGCTGAAATACAGGCGACGAAAAAGTAATCATCTGTATGTTATATGATGTATAAGTTGAAGTTAACTGTATGAGTTCTATGTACTGAAGGCGATTCACTCACTGAGAGCTCAACTCCGTCGGTTGGAATCAGTTTGATAAAGGGTGGTAATATGGTGATGATAAAGCTACGGCCTTGTTACATCGCCATTTCTCACTGTCATATGAAGCGACAGAGTGGCTTGCGTTGTCTTATTTGATATAAGCTAAACAAACTAAATACCCTTTGCTATTACTCCACTCCTAATCGAAGTGCCAGCTAACAAGTGAAGCGTAGATTTGGTAAATTGTTTATAGTTATTGTTTGAAGAAACAAGATATTTTTCCTTTAAGTTTTTTGTTTGCTTAATTTTAATTTGTTATCGCATCATTCACTACCTAGTGTCCTATTATGTTATTTATTTACATTTTCTTTCTATCAGATTTGCAAAATAATATTGTGTGGCAAAATTGTTCTACGACGACTGTGTTTGTGATTATGTAGTATTTTTGACCATGTGATTGATAACCTACAGGTAGCGTGTTTAGATTATTTTATGGGGTAGTTCTGGTCCTACTGTCTTTAAGCAAATAATATTGTGTTTTGAAAGATGTCATTCCTCAAGATTAATCCTAGTAGTTTCGTAGACAAAAATACAAAATAGGCTTGACGAGTACGGTTTATTTTACTGCTTTGTCGTTCCAATGTTCAACATAAAAGTAGGTCGTCAACACAGTTAGTCGCAGCATACTGTTTGGACTACCAGGTGGTCGCTAAATTTGAGTGATGACTGTCTTTAAAGCTTGTATTGGCTAAAAGGTTTATTTTTAATTTTAATTCCTACTTTATTGTGAAAAACCTCGGTATTACTTTTAAAAAAAGAATGTAACACAGTATTTCATCAGTGATCTGTGTTGTTTATTCACATTTGGCATTCAGATGCTGGTGACTGAATAATTAGAGTACGCAATATGTGAGATTGGTTTTGAGCATTTACCGTATAACTGACGGACGAAAGCTTACACCGCTAAATAGTTTCCGGTACATAATTTTTAAATGAATTGATTACATTCTCATTTCTACCCCTTATTTCGCATAGAAAACGCCTTAAATATTGGTTTTGTCCCTTATCTAATTTAGACTTTACGGATCCTGCTTGATTGGTGCCCGATTCGTGTGTTTGACGGAGGTAAGTTTGATCATAGCTTCTGGTGATAAGTATTGTACAAACGATTGTCGTGTATTTTAATGTTCCAGCATTTATTTCTTATCCGTCCTAAAATGTACCTTTTTTCATTGAAGACTTAGTGTATGTTATCATTACTACGATTGTTTCCTTTGGTTAATACTCATAATGTATTGAAGTCGTAAATTCATGTCTGTATATATACATGGATTTAGCGCAATGTACAGAATATATTAGGAAAGCGTCGCCACCTAATTTCACTTTACAGTACTGTATTAGTCATACATAACGGTTAATAGAAAATAGTATCAATCTGATTTTAGCATAAGGTACACGGGTCATCTCATTTGCATTTGTGTACTTAGTAGTCATAATGAATAATGACCAAGCAGGCTTTTATGTTAGCGCAAAACTCTTCATTGTTTTTCTCTGTATTTTTAGTCATTTCCTCTTTCTTGAAATGTCTACTAACCCAACTGATATGCTTCACGTCACTGTTTCCCTACTTCACTTCATCTTTGAAGACAATGTAGCAGTCAGCTGTGTTTTTCTATCAACTATGCTAGTGCAATTCATTTACTAAGCTGTTTTTTTTTCTAGAACTGATCAGTATGCGTTGATCTAAAAAAAAATTTCATGAACGACACTATTATTGAGTAAATTTTACATATCGCACCGGACTACATTATACAGATTCACCAAACAATCAAATCTTTTGTATAATCTTCAATATGTGTTATTAGCGTAGGACGGTGCAGGCGCTGTTTATGCAAAGAAGCTTCAAGATACTTTTGATTTTTAGGACTATATGGAAAAAATAAACTTCTGGTATTTTTTAAGTAGGAAGATGTGCTTGAATTCTGATTTTGATGCATATATGAGACAACTATGGTATTTTTTTCTACTAGTAGATTATATATAACTTACGTGAACACGCACATATCCTAAAATTGTGTTCAAGCAGTTATTATTGACAAAGTACTAATTGATGCACTTCTGTTGAGTGAAAAGCATATCAGAGATATTTATCGCAACATGAATAATGAGATGTTTATTTATTTATTTGCTTGTGTTTATTTTACTTCTAAATTATCAGAATATCAGGTGATGGCAGTAAATGCGATTTTCTAGGTATCTGATCATTTGGTTGTTGTTTATTTACTTTCATCCTATGACCTTGGGATTATAATCCACTTTCATTACATCCTGCTTTTATTGAATATTTTTCTGTAGTATGCTAATGGAGGCAGCCTGACTGGTTTATTGGCTGCTAAAGCAATAGACTTACCTTGGTCCGTTCGGATCAGTTTAGCCTTGGATATCGCTTGCGGTCTTAATCATTTACACAGTCATAGTCTTATCCATCGAGATTTAACGTCTCAGGTAGGTTTTGTTTATTCCACCCACTTATCTTTCTATCATATGGGTTTCGCTTTCCATAATTATTGTGCTTTTAACCTTCTGATGTGATGGTGCTTTTATTTTCTTCTTGATCTCTTGTACAGTATTTCATACATGATTAGTTGTGATTATACTTTTCCACCGAACTTGGTGCTGGTTGGGTAGTTTCGGAAATCATGAGCAAAGGTCGGGACGGGAATCAACTCTCGTTAGTTCTCTTAGCTTACTAATTTCGGCATTTGGTTATGTGTGTGGTGAAGTTCGTGTACACTTCGATTTTTTCTCCAGTTTAGCTCAGAGCTGTGTTAACGGGCTTTTTCCATGAGGAAAAGAAAACTGAGAAGCTTCACTCACAAACTCGGACTTTTGATGAAAACAGTCCTTTTATGGCTTGTTGATTAGCTGAGTGTTGCTTGTAAGATTAACCCAGTTTCCTGTTTTCTTTTACATGGGTGATTATAAAAAGCCAACAAAAAATCAGCGCAAACTTTCAGTGCACACTTGTTCTTAGTGTATGGTTATTAATATTCGAAGACTGAAATTCTAAGATGGTAGTTGATATGACTTTATACGGTCATATCATAACTTTTTCATACCGGTCAAATGTTTTTTTGTTGTTATTCCATTCCAGAATATCCTTATCCGCTTTCGATCTCAAGCAAATTCTCATGTACTAGATAATTGTTTCAATTCTGTTTCTAATCGTGACAGTTTTCGAAATCAGTGTACTCTGACGAAGCCATCCGATTCGGAACGTGATATATATACCAAAGGAGATATGCAAACAAACAGCATATCACACCACTGTCATCGTCGTCATAGTTCTTATCTTCGAAAACAACAATTTCATAATTATAATGGAATTCGTCCAAATGACGAAACTGATGAATTTTCGCTCTCCACTTCTTGTTCTGATTCCGTGAATGTCAACCATGATACCAAGGATACTGATGAGTTTGGTTTAAATTTAGCTCATATACTTTCGTTTACATATCATCATAATGGTGAAGTAACCTGCTCCAGTAAGCCTGGTATTCCTATTAGCTACCTACAGTCTATTCCGCTTATTGAACCACAGTGGAAGCAGTTAATCAGCGATGACTTGCGATTATTAAAGTCTTTAAGTCGGTCAGAAGTTTCCATATCGTCAGGTAGTTCGTTCACATTTACAGCACTTGTAGCCGACTTGGGTTTATGCTTGGATTTGACCCAGTAAGTTTTTTTCGTGTGTGAGTATTATCGGTATTTTTGTTGTTTTTAGTTTATAATATGCGTCATAGTTATTATTAAAGTTCTCGATGTTGCATATGAGTATACTGCGATTACATTTTGTAGTCGCTAACAGCGGAATTTTGGATACATGTCTTGTTAAGAGTAATGAATATTGGGTTCACGTCTCAATGTTGACACTAACACCAAATGCTCTCGCATACTACATACTGTGCATTTTAACTTGATAAATTCTCCTTTAAAGTCACTTCTTTCCAACTGGAATTATGTAAATACTTAGCTGGTCTGTATGAAGCAGTACAGAAAAAATTCGAACATTTTTACTAAACATTAAGAACCAAACCGCACATGCGACCATCATTAAAGATGTGCTGTTCATTTATATTATGTGTCAGACAATTAGATTACTAACTGCAGTTTGCTTTTCAAAGAAGCTTTATGGGACAGAAGGTTATCCCAAGTAGTCAGCATTGCAAAAAGCCATTTCATTCCTTTCGGATATGGACTAACTTCTTGAAGGTACTTTTTTTGTAAGACTTGTTTTTGAAGCCCCAAACAATCTGTCTATTTCCAATAGATTGATTAGTCACTACTTCTTTCTTAACGTGTGATTTACGGGTGCGCTAAGAGCACAGAAAAATATGAGTAAATTTGTTGCTTTTTTGTTGTTGTTGATTTTTTAGGGATCATGTTGATGCTGAATCAGTTGTTGGAAATCCATTTTACACAGCTCCTGAGTGTTTAAATCGGATTGCACCGTATACATTTGCTGCGGATATTTTCTCTTACGGTCTTTTGATGTGTGAATTGATAACGCGTTTACCCAACGACTGTTCTCTTATCCCTCGCACATCGGTAAGTAGGGTTGCATATCTTTATTTATGAAGCATTGTAACCCACACATACGAAATAGCAACGATTACTTAAGAACACCAGTCGGTATCTCAGACATCTCTCCATACTTTCCAAATCTGTTGAGTAAATTACTTCTTCATGTATCATCGCTTCAAGAAACTTCAACTCACGTGTTTGATTATCTTTTTTGGAAATATTGGAAAGTCTACCTTTTTGCTGCTTGAATCAATATTTGTAGATGATATTTTTGTTTATCCTAAATGCAATCGGATTTCTAACTGATCATGAATTAAAACTTCAAATAAAACGTGGCGATTTCATAACACATGACTCTTCATATTTAATGGCCATATTTCACAGCAATATAGTAGAATAAAGTAAATTACTACGCAGCACATCTGACTTTTGTTATGTGATCGGGCATCTCGCCAGCCCCATAGCTGAAGTAACGCGGCAGAAGTTAGTTAAACCTTTTGTACCGGTGTAGAAATCTCATCGGTTACCGACCCCTTAGGGTTGATTCTACTTCTCAAGTAAGTGAAGTTAGTCATCAACGTGCTCACCAACTTATAATCACCATCATAATCAAGTCATGATTGAAGAAATTTTTAAGTTACGATAGAACTCCAAAATAGTAAACCTTAGTGGGTTCAAAACACAAGGAGTATCATAAACTGTTAATAACAATAATAGCGATGACAATGATAATAGACACAATTATAATAAATTTATTCCAGACAGTTTGTTTGGTAGAGTATGGAATTCTCAGGATGTTATGTTTCATCAGATTTACTATATACAATACTTTTAAACGAAATAATTATAGCGTCTCGGCAATTCTGATAATAACAGTATTACAGGCAATAATGTGTAACGACCAGCTGTTGTTAGTTTATCGTCTAGTCTGAAAGAAGGGAGGGGTGAATCGAAAAACGTGCTTACCTTTGGTGTTCGTGGTTCATTCAATCAGTACGGAAATTTGCAATTCGAGCCATTCGAGGAATAGTTATATGATATATTGTTGCGCATTAAAAAACCCATCGTAGTTTGCCATGGTGTCTCTCTTTCATTTTATTATCAACTTGCAAAACAGTTGGTTGAAGATATTTATAAAGTACATGAGAGTACGTGATACGAGCTGAAAACATATGTGGATCAATACAAGTTTAAAAAAAACAGTTTTATGTAATATATTCAGTGGAGAATTTTTGGCAACCTGAGGTTCAACCAGTCAATTTTCATGACCTGGTTTAACGAGATCATGCTTAAAAAGTTCACTTACTCTGACATCACTTCGTTTCTTACTAGCGATCAAAGGTACGCTGTTCATCAGGGCATATATATATATATATATATATATATATATATATATATATATATATATATATATATATATATACTCATCTGTTCATTGGTTTTTAATCTCCTCTCTAGTCTTTCGGTCTGGACAGTGAAAACCTTCCAGTACCACAGGACTGTCCTACTTGGTTTTTTCAGTTAGCTGTGGATTGCTGCACTGTTGATCATTTGTTGCGTCCAAATACTCTGGATGTTATCGATTGTATCAAAAAAAGTCGTCAAAGTATGTCCTGTCGTTCAACTGTTCATTCACCGTCTCGCGTGCCTATACAAAACTCAGTTACTAAGGTGTCTTATGATATCGGATCGCAAGGAATTGTTCATGAATCTCCTATATAAAATTATCCAACCTAATTCTGCGCAACTTTATCCTGTCTACCTTGTCCAGCTATCAGATCTGGTATCTCTTCATGATTGAACTAGTGTTTCATTGAATAAAACTGTGAAAACTAAACCACTCAACTTCTTGATAATGATCACCTCGTGGTTCATTTTGCAATGTGTACATGTTCTTCGTAAGCATTTTCCACAAAAAAGACAATCAGTTAGCTATTTCAGGTAATCATTTTCTCTTCTATCTTTACCAGCATTGATTGTAAATTATGGCAACCTAATGTTGTCATTTTTCGTGCTAGCATCTGTGAATCTCTCTTTCATACACACTTTCAGTTATTTGCTATTTTTTCCCTAATTTTTGTTATTACAGAGTACCTGTGCCTAAGCATATATACGATGAATCCTCAAAATATTCACTTTCTAATCCCAATTTTTAATGATTTATAACTATGCACTACACGTTAACTTTGGGTACACAGGGAACAAAAGATGTCTCAACGCCTTTTTATTGTCTGTTTTTCAAACCTTTAACTAAATAAAGCCTTCCTCACTTAAACTACATTTCAATTTTTAGAACTTCCATCTCTGCCGTGATTCACACTCACTGTCGATATTATTACTATTGTCACTGTAACTTTTTTGTTATCATCCTTACTGTTACCACTACGGGGGTCATAATATTTACTTATATGTTGCAAACAATTATCTAGTTTTCCTACCCATATGGAAAGTATCGTTTATCTTCTGTGCTTTCAAGTGTTTGTGTACTTCCTACTGTCTTCCATGTTATATATATATATATATATATATATATATATATATATATATATATATATATATATACTCGCATTTATTACCCTACATGCAGATGTGAAAATATGCTTCCAATGTTCTTCCACTGGTGGTTATCGAAGAGTTTATCTTCCTCTTCTGTGCAGTGTACAAATATTAAATTCATAGATGTAGAAACTCGTTCAACCTATTGATTTAACTCTATGGGCCTGCCCTCTCTACTTGTTTATCGTTGTGACTATTACTGTCATTAATTCTGCCATTTTCCTATTAAAGATATTACTTTGTCCTGCTAGCGTTATCTCACCGAATAATATATATTGTATCAAGGGATTGATCAGTACATAAAGTCAGTTGTTTTTCCTTTTTATGGTTTGAAAACAATCTAAAGTTCTGTTGAAGTTTGAAAAAGTAGATCGTCTTAAGCCCTAAGAGAAATAGGTATCTAATTCCTGTTTGTCTTTTGTCCTATTCCTTCATTTTATAAATACCTGATAAGTTTTAAGGAAATAGATTCTCTTTCAGCACTTTCTGAACACCATGTATGACGTCTTTTCATTCACCAGGAACTAATTTGTAAACTTATTCTTACGAAATTTTCGGCGAGTGATGTATTATCCACTAGGTGTACTTTTGGAATCCTGCAGATTGAGTTTACTAAGTTGGTTTGCGAATCGCAGTCAGTCAAATTCGGGTTCAGTTATAACCCAATCAGCTTAACTATGAAAGAAATGAGTGAATTTAGTACAAATTCATTAGTGTAAGAATATAACTTGGGCACTGTTACTGTTTTGTTCTATGTTAGTTATTTTGTTAGACATTTCACACAATGAAGCAGTATTTACTGGATGACATATTAAGAATAAATTCTATTCTAAACGTCATCCGGCAAATAAAACTTTAACTGTGTGAAATATCCAACAAACTAAGTTCAAATTTCCTGAGGGTCACAGAACGTTTTGCTGTAAGTTAACAAGCACAAAACGTTGAGCCAAACAGGTCGTCTTGTCCATTGATTTCTAGTATCAAAGTATCTTAACTCCACTACACAACTATTGACTATTTTCCATGACTGGCCCTGTAACCCTCAGGAAGAAAGATTAGTAGGCGATATATGTGGATGTGAAGGATAGCTCTTCATTAGATGTTGGTGTATCAAAATCATCTGCAGGAAGTATCACATGGTTGTAGTTTGAAGTTCTACTTTACATTGTCACAATTAATCTTTAATCTTGTATTATAACTAGAATTTCCAGATTTTATCAGATATTCTAATGCACTTCTTCCTCTTATAGTTAAAGCATTAGGAAACACTCATCGTGATTGTTTTCTGTTGGTCTTCGTATGCATTCAGCAGTAGTTGGCGTTAGTAATTAGTTATTGTTATTATTCATCACATCCGCAACCTCAAGGTTAAATGCATTACAGTTTTCGATTTCTGTTCTGGTTCATCTAAGTTTGATGTACTCTACTGAAATACTACAACGTTATTAAATTAACTAGGTTGGTTTTTCCTAATTACATTGTAATTTTTAGTAGAACTATAATAAAAGAATACGAATCGTGTCTGACTCGTCAAGAAGTGCATTAAAATATTTTTACAAGTAGTGATCATATGATATTACTTAGTTCATTCTAATTATCAAAGCAATCTAGATATCTCATTAAGATTTTTGTATACAAATTAGTTATATCCAGTCTAACTAATGACGGCTTTCAATACGCTGGGTACTAGACAAAGCATCCTTGAACTGCTACTATCTCGGGTCATGTCCATATTTCATATACAATAAATAGTAGTATTCTCTTAGTAAGATAGTAACGGTGTAACTCTACTGTGCACATGTGTTCATTTGCTGGACTAAGAGCCAAGTTCATTGTTTGAAAGCTTACGATCCTATTTGCTGGCAGTAGATGGAAATAGGTTTGATCTTGGAACATTTTCTGTGAGAGTTGACTACTCAAGTGGATGAGCTAGGTTTTTCCGAGAAGTAGGGATTACGGACTGTATGTGTTTACTGCAATAAACGTGTTGCTTTAGCACAAATTAAAAAGCTCCATTAAGACAATCACTAGATATAATATTTTTTACGGTTACAGTTTAACAAATGTGTGTTTCCGTCATTATAGGACAAAATATTCTTAGGTTAATAAGTAACGTCAGTTTACTCAACTAGAAATCTGTCAGACTGAGCTTGTAAATAGCATCTCAACATAGACATTTGACATCCTTCAGTCTGTGTTTCTGACAGGTTAACTTCCTGCATTTTAGTTGACAACAACTTAAGCAGACAGACGAAATCAACGTATAACCTCGCACACAGGTGAGTCGGCTCAAGTTGCCACACTTCACAAAAGCAGACAATAAACAGGGGGATAGGAAAAGAGTGGTATCAAGGTAGACAAAGTTGTGTGAGAAAATAAACAACTGAGGATGACTGTTAGTGAAAGTATTCAAGCTTTAGAAGGCGTAAGAGAGTAAATATGTTGGCGCCATTGTGACCGGTTCTCAACCACGTCACCAAGACTCGTCAACCATTGATCCCTATCATCTCGGGGATCCCAGAGAGGTCGTCTACATCTCCCTAGACGACTTAGACCAACAGTGGGAGACATCACAGACTGGTGCCACTTTCTGGTCTTGCCACCCTGAACCCACCACTTCACTTCCTATCAATAAACTCGAAGTACTTGCAGCAGACCAGTCCTGGAATATCATGTTACATTTGACAGAAGAGAGGCGCATGCCAAACCTACTAAGATTTCTGCTCAACGAGTTCAGAAGACCCTGCATTTTGTTAACGTCTTCATCTAGCAGGACAGTGTTGTCTGCATATCCCAATCCAACCAAATTACCTCTAAGGAGTAGACCAACCAATGCGTACGAAGTCAGACTTGCACAAGACTAAAGCCAGAGTGCCATACGCCAATCTAGATCGCCTTTGGTGCCCTCGAGACGTTAGTATGACCATAAAAGGTTGGGTTTACGACACCTCGGTGCTAGCAGTTCTACTCTACGCCTGTGAAAACTGACCTCTCCCAGATGAGGATGTTCGACGACTCTGTGTTCGATCATCGCTGTCTCCGTAGGACTACTCGTATTCGGTGTCAACACCATGTAAGTGATTTTGAGGTACGACAGCGTGTTTGGAAATGACGGAGATTGTCATTCAATATGTGAAGTCATCTGGAAACACCAGCTTCCGTGGTTTGGATATGTGTTACGCATGTCGTTCCAACGGCTTCCATAACGTTCATTGTTTGGCAGCCCTAGGACTAGATGGAAGAAGCGCAGGAGTGTTCAGTGTATGACATGGGGTCGTGGGATGAAGAATAGATGTACCGGGTTGGCATTTGTTGATGCATCACGAATTCCTGGGTGAGGTTTGAGAGATCACACTACTCATTGGCTTGAGACGTTATCAGATACAGTTCAGAATAGAAACCAGTGGTGGTCATGCTCCTTTCTTTTGCTGCTGAGAAGTAATAAATGTTTTGTTTTGAATGTATCTTATTGGACTGCCCTTCTAATCCTGCTATTCTTATTGTTTTTTCTTTCTAACATACCCACCTCCTATTGTTTTTCTTCCCAATGTTACACTGTTTTGTGTGGCGCATTTCTTGGTACCCTTGATGTGCCGTGTTTGTGTGCTAACAATAATCATAATAATGCAGTTCCATAAAATAGTTGTGTTTAGCAAGTCAGTATGCACTGAGAGTGTGTTACGTGCATTTTATAAGAATGTCCTTAAAGACAACCTTTGTGTCCTAACCGTGATTTAAAAGTTTGTCTTGTCGATGGTTCCTAGTGGAGATCAGACTAGCTGTTTCAGTAGTCTCAAAGCCTTTTTGTCTGTTTACCCTTATAACAACAAAGGAAAATTCGAGGTTCACTGCCAGGCTTGAAAATCTTTCTTAGATCCCTAGTTAACTGTACTATTTCCTTGTTTAATTGGGCCATCGACTACTAATTGATTTGTATCGCTAGGGAGGTGCTGCCTGTTATAAAGAACTTCACCTGGGGATCAGACTTCTGTCAAACTTTCAATCAGTTTCATAACCTACAATTCTTCTAACCACGTCTTATCCCTCTTATAGTTCAGTCTACTCCACCTTTCTTAGAAAGAAAAACTCTATTCGTCGCAGTTGAGAAGGAAAGGCAAGCATTCTTGTTTTATTAACTTTATTCTTCATCACCACTATACCAGCAG